CGGCCCCTGCCGTGAGCCAGCTCGGACTGTCGGAGGAAGAGGACGGTGAGTGCTGGGGCAGGAGTCCTGCACACGGCCGCGGGCACAGGGTTTGCGGCACGACCTGGGCTGGAACCCTTCCCCACCACTGACTAGTAAGCCACCAGAGGAAACGCATCAGCCTCGCCAGGCCTCCACCTCCTCCTCTGCAAAGTGGGCATAGCAGCTGCTTCGTCCTCTGTGAACGGGTAAGGGTCACACGTGCAAAGACCTAACACGGCGCCTGCTCTACGGAAGGTGCTCAGAAAACAGGAAGAGAGACCTGGGGGGGGGGGGTCGCCTGAGCGTGGGAGGCCTGGATCACTCCCTTTGCTCAGGTACCTCTTTTCTGTTTCCAAGCTCAGGGTGAACTGCTCCCAAACCAGAGACGGCAGAGCCAGGAGTAGGGTGCACAGCGTACAGAACAAGCTTTAGGAACCTGAGATGTCCCCAGCACGACTGGCCCAAGGTGAGGGCATCGGAGGCAGCAGAACCTCACCAGAGGACAGAGCAGCCCAAGCCGGACAGGAGAGAACACAGGGAAACGGACGGACGGGGTGAAGGCCAGGACTTCCAGGGTGCCCAGTCCCAGGCCCCGCTGGGCCAGGTGGAAGAAGCAGCCTAGATGGCCTGAGCCCAGGGCACCGGGGGGCTGTGGAAGGAGATGCCTTTCTCCCGTGCGGGCCAAGGTGCTGCAGAGAGAAAGCATAGCTGGGACCTGCTTGGACCAGTGGCCTGGATTTGGGTTCACAGACCCATAGCACCACCCAGCCTACGGTGCTCCTGCCCACCAACCACAGGGAGGGGCTCAGTGGCTTGGCCTAAGTGAAGCCACAGGTCTAGGAAACGAAACGGGACCTGTGGACCGAGAGCGCTGGACGGTGAAAGCAACTTGAGTTACCCAAAGCCCAGGAACCTTCACTCCGCGCACACACCTGCTTCTTAGCCTCTCTGTGGGGTTGGACGGGGGTGGGACACTGATTTTTCTATTTCTAAACTGGAGGGAGCAGAGTGGGCCCTGAGCCTGATGGTGGTCCCTGCAGAAGTCCTGTGGATGGGCAGGGGACCCTGGCTGGGCAGAGCAGTTAGTGACCACTGCCTCTGACCCTCGTGGACCATGAGGCTCGTCCCTGCAGAAGACCTAAGACAGAAGGCAGCTCCCTGAAGGAGAGACCGTGGTCCTGTGGGCCGACCTGCCTCGCGCACCACTGCGTGTCACCACTCTGCTCTGGGCCTGGCAAGGGCTCGGTGGCCGAGAACGCATGGAGGGTGAGAAGCCATGACGCATGAGCAGGGCATGCTGAGTTATGAGAGTCAGCACCGGGCCTCGAGCAGTAAGTGCTCAACAAACAGGGAGGCAGGGAGCAGAAGGAGGAGGATGGTGACGACCGGGGGGCAGGACAACGGAGAGTCCAGGGGGGCAGTTCCTGTAAGAAAATGCACGTAGACTGTGGGGCCGAGTGTCCAGACCCTGTCCCTGTCCCTGGCGGGCCCCGTCCCTGGCGGGCAGCCTGTTGGACTCATCACACCACAAGTGCCTCTTCCTCCTCCTCCTCACTGTTCCTTCTTGTCCCCAAACACATCTCCAAGCATCTCTCGGCGGGTGGCGGAAGATTCTAGCTCAAAGTTCGTCCTTGATTTCTAGTCCTGGATCCAGCCCTGGGTCTTGCTTCTCTCTGGGGAGGAGTTTTTTGGGGTGGAGGGCATGGTGGGCCTGGCGCAGGGGGGAGGGCAGAGTTTCACTTCCCCTCCAGCCCCAGCCCCTGACCCAGACGCTCTCCGTGCTGGGGAAATGAGCCAGGAGAAACAGAGGAAGTGGGCCAGGAGGGAAGGTTTCGGAAAAGGAACTGAATCTACAGTTAGTCTCCAAGTTCCAGGGTTAAAATGACCTTGCTGGAGGCACTCACAGGTCGGTAACCCCCTCAGGGAAAGCCTGCGTCCGTCCTCAGGGCGGGTGCCCTGCACTGCGCCTGTGCACAGCCGGCTGGGCTCTCAGCTCGCTGGACGCAGACGCCACCCTGATCGGCCTGTGTGACTCTGCAGCGGGACCCCTTCTCCCAGCCTCTCGCTGCTCCTTCTCAAACCCAGGGGATGTGTATGTACCCTGTCCACCCCAGGGCTGAGGCCAGGGCTGATGGATGGAAAGCACTTCAATAAGTAAAAGGGCCATAAAAGTTCAGGGAATCATTGTTTGGGCTATCGAAGTGTGGACCAGGATAATATAAACCAAAGGCTAAGAGAGGAAGTGGCTCTGGGTCCACAGTAAACAGAAAAACCAGCTCAGGGCTCTCGGTTTCTTTCCCATAAAGGGAGACAGAAGCCAGAGGCCCAAGGCCTTCCCCCCAGACCAGACGACTTTGTGCAAAAGGTTTCTGGCTTCCCTCCTCCGGCTCCAACCTCACAGAAAGCAGCAGAGCCTGCCCGGGGTCAAGCTGTCTTAACTGGGGGCCGGGGGCTCAGAGTCAGGGGAACAGGAGGCGGGAGCCCCGCTTCTGCCCTTCCCCAGTGGGCGAGTCATCTGGGGTGTGACCCCCTCAGGGACAAAGCACTTGCCGTCCTCTCTGGTCTGGGGCTGGCTGGTGATTTGGCGCTAAGCCCGCTGCAGCAACTTCCCTGCCTGGGGGAAGGATGTTCGAGATGTCATCCATGGGGCCCCTAAAATGGTGAGCCGAGCCAGACCCCACCCCCCTGAGGCTCCTGCTCGGGGCCGTGAGGGATGGGGGCTGGAGACAGATGTAAAGGGACCCGAGCCCCAGGGCCTCCTGGAGTACCACCATCCACTTTTCTCCAGACCGCTCTGATCACATCCCTCTCAGCCGTGGTCCTGCTGGCCTGAGCAGAGGTGACCTCAGAAGGAAGACGCTTTGCTTTATCGTTTGAAGTGTTTTAGATGTCTGGGAGCAGAGCGCAGTGTCCCAGGTGGAGGGTGGGACAGGGGCTGGGAGAGGAGCGGTGGACAGGGGGAGAAGAGGGTCTTTGTAGGAGGACCGCGGCCAGTGGGTGGGTGCTACTGAAGCCGGTTTCTGCTCCGTTTCACAGCAGTGGCAGCCCCACGAGGATGGGGACGGCTGAGGGGTGATGAGTTCTCTGTCACTGGAGGCATGCAGCTTTAGTCTGGATTTCACATGGCCACACACTTGGGCTAAAGAAAGCCCTCTTTCCGTCCCTCTGTGTCCCAGCTTTGCTCTCATTTTCCAACTCTAGGAGACGGGGAGGAACCTGCTTCCAGTCCAGCTGGAGAGGCTGCCCATCCCTCTCTCAACCCTCCTGCTCCACGTCCCCCCACCCCGATGTCTCAATCCTGGCTGTTGGCTCCCTCCCTCGCTACCCCCAGGGTGGAGCCCGGCCCTCTGTCCCCCTTGGAGCTGAGGCATGAGCTCATCTGGGCAGCCCGAGGAGCCAGAGGGGAAAGTCTGAGTCACGGCAGCGCCCGCGGCCAGGACGCCGGTGCAGGAGAGGCGAGTGCCCCGCGCGGCCCTCGGCTGCGAGGCCTCGCCAAGGGCAGGTGGAGGGGCCCCCGCTGTGCTGGCCCCGGGTGGGAGGAGGAGGAAGGACCCCGGGTGTCGGGAAGGGCCCGACCCTGGAGTCCAGAACGCTGGGAGCTCAGAACTGGAGGACAACGGGAATTAATGATGCCGTGTGACCACGTGGAGACTGGCACCACAGGTGGGAAGCGGACACAGGGGATCACACACTGAGCCCTGTGCTGGCGTCTGCTCCCCGCCCCTCCTCCCCCGCTTCTGCCTAGTGATTTTCCAACTGAATTAAATGAAATGTAACTCTCGAGCAGAAGCAGACACCAGGCAAGGCCACACTTCTCCCGTGGACGTGGCCGAGCCCTGGCTCCCGCAGCTCTGACCCCAGGGGCTGAGGATGTAGGCCTGGGCCAAGGTCACAGGGCCCTGCCCTCCACGGTCAGGGAAGGGCTCTTACCTGTGAGTCACCTGGGACCCTCGCAGGCTGCACATGGTCTCTTCCAGGTTTTGCCGGAGATCCAGCACATTCTGCACCGTCCTCTTTCTCTGTGACTCGGGGTCTGGAGGGAGAAGAGCTGGGTGAATGACAAGGATTTGCCTCCTGGTGATCGGGGATGTGGAAGGTGACCCTACCCCAGGAGGCCAGTCCCTGGGACGTGCTGTCTGCCTCTCAGGCCATCCTGAGCCCCTTGACGTCCCAGCCCTGGAAGGGGCCTTCGGTGTCCGTGCACCCCCGTGGCCCCAAAAGACCACCTGTGCCTGGCTTCGTGCAGGGGCTGTGCTCCTCCCAGCAGGGGCCCGGCCAGGCTCCCGGGGCTGGGGGCAGCCGGCATGTCTGCCCGAAACGCCGCCGGTGATGTGTTGGTAAACGTTTAACCACTGGCTGTTGGAGGTGGGGAGACCCAAATTTGTCGTGTTTGCCAGCTTTGGGGTGCAAATACCCTGCACGGCTGCTGTCAGGCTAGCAGCGTGACGCCAGACTCCAGGAGAGGCGGGAAGGGTGGGCTCTGGGAGCCAGCACGAGCCAGCGTCAGTCTCCACCCTCCCTGGGCCCCGGGCACTGACTGGGAGCTTTGGCAGTTGCTGGGGGCATCCAGCGGAGAGAGTTCAGCCAGAGCCCTCCAAATGCTGGTGGGGAGGGGGCAGTGAGCAGCCACCCTTTTGGAGCAAGGGCTGAGCAAGGAGACCTTGTGCCACAGGTGCGATCCTGGGTGAGGACAGGTGGGTCCAGCCCCCACCCTAGAAGCCTACGCTCCTGGTCTTGGTTTCCAGGGAGGGGATGAGCCCGCGCAGGTGAGAGACAATGCCAGCAGACAGAGATCTATCCCCTCTCCTGTCCAGGGTGAGCGCAACCAGAAAACAGAGGTACCCGAGCAGGAAGGGACTCAAGAACCTCCTCCTTCCATCAGTCCATTAAGGGAATCTTTATAAGACACGATTTGAGCAGATACCACAGTCATCCCTGCCCTACGGCTCATCCTTGACCTTGGGACCCAATCACTGAATGGAAGCAAGTCCCCCAGTGTCTCCCTGACAGACAACGTACTGGAGAGTCAGGGACCCACAGAGGCATGGCGGCAAAGCAACGGAGAAGGCCCAGGAGCTCGGACCCTCCAGGCTACCCACCCCACCTGCTCTGTCCAGACCCCTGTAGTCCTCCCAAAGCCCATGGGCCTCCCCACCCAGGCTCGGCAGGAGCGCGAGGCTCTTCCAGCTGCTGAAGGGGACGTTTGTGGGTCCCTTACGAGGTATTTTTCCCCCAGGACTGAGCTCAGGGCAGCTGGCAGGCGGCTGCTCTGTCTTGTCAGTGCAGGAGGCTGGGGAGGGCGGTGAGTAGCCAGGTGGCATGGCCCTTCCAGAGCCTCGGAGGCACCTTTTCTGAGAACCAGCTCCGCACCCAGCCCAGCCCAGCCCTTCCACTCCCGCTCCCAGGGGCCTGGAAGAGGCTGTGCACGTGGGGGCGGGGTGGGGGCCTGGCCGGAGGCTGGCAGGGACGAGGGCAGGCCTCTGTGCATCACCCCGCGGCTGCCAACGCCTGTTTATCCTGGCAGGGGTCACCTCGTGAGCTGCTCGGTGGTGGCAATGATGGCCTGGCATGGAAAACAGACAGGCTCACGAAGTGTAATGTGTTTTTAATGCTGGGCTCTAGAATGCCCACAGGGGCCCAAGCACACGGTTCCAAGATGTGGGTTTCTGGGCCAGGGCAATGCTTTCCTCGGGTTTGGCAGAAATGAGGGAAAAGGCAGGCATGACTCCAGGGGTGGGCAGCCCCGAGGGGGAGGGGACCAGGAGTGACTCAGAGTCCGCGTGTGCCCCCCTCCCCCGCTGGACCCTCACAGCATTCTGTACTGCTGCCCCATTTCACAGACTCGGAGGGTGAAGCGCACCGCCCCAGGGTCACACGCCTGCCTGCAGCGCAGAGCAGAGCCGATCCCAGGAGGAAGCGCGCATGCCTTCTGATCTCTCAGGGCATCTCTGCCCGGTGGCGTGCTCAGTGAGGGCCGTGGGAGGCGCTCAGGGAGCGTTCCGAGGACGCTCTCTGCTGTGTGACCACAATAAAAGTGCATTAAGGAAGAGTGGACGCAGGCGTGTCCCATTAGGAAGATGTCGATCCCACATGGTGGCCAGCCCAGGGTGGGCCTCTCTGTTCCTGATGCTCCAGGCCCTGGGACCCGGGGGATCTAGGACCCGGATCTTAACGCTCTAGTAGTGACAGGAAAAGACCCTCCTTCTTCTCACAGCACCAGTCATGGTGCCCTTTTCCCTACAACCTGACTGTCAGAGACCTCCACCCTCGCCCCAGCAGAGCAGGGCAGGACCACCCCAAAGTCTTCAGACTTGCCCCAAATCAGGGCCAGAAGAATCCTTGTTAGTGACGGTCCAACGGGGTCACTGGAAGGACAGGAGGACAGGAGGCTGAGGTCCAGGGCCAGGGGCAACCGACTGGAGGTGCAGGGACTTGTTAATGAAAGACATGTGGCTGCTGCCCCCAGATGCAGTGGGCATGCTGAGAAGGAGGCTGGACAGTGGAGACAGAACAGGGACAGAGCGGGG